CTGCGTAATCTTGCCGCAAACAGTGCATGCTCTAGTTGATAAAAAGCACTGAAATACAGGTCCAGCTCCCACTATTTCCAGGAACGTTTGGTCCCGTAAAACCATAGGAAACCATAATTTCAGCAAATTAAATCAGTTACTGCCTATCTCGCTGGCTCAACACATGGAAAGGGAAGAGCACCCTGCTGGCTCCGTGCATGGGGAGTAACACCAGTCAAATTCCACCAGCGCCTGTGCTGGGAAAGGGAGGCGACAGGCAGTCCCAGAAAGGCACGTCTCCTCCAAGCAGACATTAAAGGAATGCCATATGCTATAGGGAAAATGTACAGCGAGCACTGAGCTCATCAGTCACTTTTTGTTTGATCTAATTAAACACAGTATATCCTCTGACCTTCTGGGTTGGCACTAAATTCTCCGATGTTGTTCTTTCCATATGAAGCTCTATTGACAGATGGGGAAAGCCTAGAGTTTGCTTTAAGCTTCAGATAAGTAAAGTTAAACATGCAGCAGATAAAATTGTTTTCCCAGCACTCCTTTCCCACTGACCAATTGTGGGTGCTTGCTGGGAGGGCTTAACTCCTCTGGCCCACATCCCACCCCCGAGTCTGGGGCACCGTGCTCCGCAGAGAGCGAAAGCAAGCTAGCGAGCAGCTGTAAGAGGGCAGAGTGCTGCAGAAACCCCTAAAAGTTCAATTCTAGAGCTGGTTCTGACAGTTGCTCAGCTTCATTTCCATGTGGCAGACAATTAGGGAAAACAGTGCCGCTCCGCGCTAAATATATTTTCAGAGTCACTAATTTGCTACCTAACACTTAATCAGTTGGCATCTGCTGATGCTGAAACAGTTTTTAAATAAAAAGTGTTGAATTGCATTGGACACCTCGTGCACGTTCCCTGCTTATACAGGCTACACGCCGTTGCTGTGTGTGCAAGAGCGCAGCCGGTCAACACGGCTTCGTGAGTTTTCTGGGAAGGGAGAGAGCTGGATTTGGGGAGAGCAAGGAGTCACAAGCAGGCACAGGCTTTGAGCATGCAAAAGCGTTGGAAGCGTGCTCAGCTTTCGGCGTGGTCACCTGTGTGCTCGCTTCCTTGCAGGCAAAGGAGAAGAGCACGTATCTGCCCTTCACCGGCACCACTCGGTAACGCCACCTGCAAAGCTATTTTTGCCAGCATGGTGAGAAATCCTTTAGTCTGAGTCAGGGTGGTTATTGCAGGTAACTCCTCTATGTACGTATAGCTGCGCCTGTGCTCCTGGACCTATGCGCAAATCACTCCTTGAAATATAAACTGGAAGTTACAGAAGAGCCTGGAGGTGATGCCCTTACGGTTCCCGACAGGCCAGGTCTTTACTGTAAATAGCTTTAATGCTCCCTTTGTGTATCACTAATGCAGGGCAGGGCGGGAGGCAGCAGCCCGCCGAGCACAGGGGGCCTTTCCCTGCACGTGGCCACCGACCAGGTCAAGCTGGAGTGGTGTGAACTTTGTGGCTCTGATTTCCCATGGCCAGCTGCACAAGCCCGACACAGGGGTTGGCACGACCGGGATCCCAAGCTGTAGGCTTTGAGGTGTTCACCTCCATCTGAACCCACACTGGCATTCGAATAAATGCAGACCCTCTAGCTGGAAGCTCTCAGCCGTCCTCAGCGGCTGTGAAGGACCCCGCTGCTGGTTCACAGCCACGTAACATCTTTTTTTGGAAAGTGCGAAGGGTGAACTTTTAGCGCAACTCCTTACCTGGGGAGAATTTATCTTCAGGCAAAGGGGGTGGTAGGATCACTGAGGGCATTGACCAGTCTTGTTCCTCCATGGTCCAGCCTCCGTCTCTCCTCTGCAGCGGGTGGGCAGCTCTGGAGAGCAGACAGACATCATAGATTCATAGAAGGTTTTGGGTTGATGAAGTCCTTCAGCTGCTGGTTTACTAGGGGAGCTGCTGCCCCTTGCAAAACTCACCATCTTTCAAGCACTCCCACAACAGAGCGACCGGACATTTTGTATAGATACATACACTCCCCCCCCCCAAAAAAAAAAAAAATTGGTCCCAGCAGGCTGCTCTGCAAAACAAGCTGTGTTACGCTGGGCAGTAACCTGTGATGGGCTGAGGGCATGGGAGAGCTTCCTTTTGATGAAGTGAACTTTCTCTCATAATGCTGGGAGGTGGCATAAAACAGAAATCCAACGGCTCCTGCTTTCTCCGGCAATGCCCACATGATTGCCCCTGCGATGCTGGGGGGAACAGACTGCATGAAGCAGAATTGCCGATGACCCCTGTGGCAGCGACAACTTGCAGCCTGTTTCCAGGAACTCAGGAGTGACTTGAGATGGATGAAGCAGCCTCAAGAGTCTCCATAAAACATGTGCCAAACATGTCCTTAAAACCTGGGTTGGAAATGCCTTGGGTGTGCTCAGTGGCCGGCTCTCTGTCTTGCTCAGCTCAGCAGAAAGGTTGTGGTGGTGGTTTTTGTTTCTCCAGGGGACTGGGGGGCCATTACCCTGCGCTGGGAGCCGTGCCCGAGTTGAGCGCATGGCTCCTGGGAAAGCCCTGGCCGGGGGGAGCCAGGGTGGCTTGCCCTGCTTTGGGTACCACTTGCCTACATTCTGCCTGCACTTTGAAGTACCTCAAGGTTTTAGCTATAAAGCTCTAACCAACGAAAAAACAAAATCTTGGCTCGGGAAGGCGTGTTGCCTTGGCGTGTTTCCTGGGACTGAGTGACTTACGATGCTGGGTGGTGGAGGTAGGACTCCTTTTCCTTGTTTTGGAGGAGGTGGGTCACGCTCATCTGGAGTCCAAACTCCCTCGGAGACTTCTTCTTCCCCCTTTTTTTCATGACATCAGCCAGGACTTGATGTTACTATTTTAAAAACAAAAGGAGGGGACACCCCCCCCCCTTCCCTCCCGCTCTCTGCCAAAAGGAGAACAAAGAACAGCTAAAGCGCACAAGTTCTGGCACTCCGTTTGGAAATAAAAACATTCATCCTCATGTCAGGTAGGGAACTGCCCGACCCCTCCTGCCAAAGCAAGCAAGCCCGGCGGCAGAGCAAACCCGTGGCGCAGAGGAGCCTGGGCGAAGGGGATGCCCGGTGTTACCCCGCGCTTGGGCAGCTGCTTGCCAAACTCCTGCGCTGCTGTACGGGTGCCAGGGCGCACGGGCAGTCATCCAGGGAAGGGCCACCCTGCACCTCCCAGCCTGGGAGGTGGGGAAGGACCTTTCTTCTTCCCATCTCCCACCCCCACTCCCCACCATCCGGGCAGCCCCTGCGTCTCCATGCAACGCGTCCCCGCTCCCCAGCAGGGCTGGTGCACAGCGCGGGGTAACCCGATATAATTTCCATGCTTTAGACACTAACATCTTTGTCTGGCTTCTTCCTCGCCATTTAAACATGTCAGCAGTTCCCAGCACGGATTCCTGTGCCGTGAGTTCACCCCCGACGAGCATCCAAACTGCAAGTTGGGGCTGCTGGCTCTTCCCCGCTTGTCTGCGAAGTGTTACTGGAACAAGGGCTGGTTCTCCAAACACGAGGAAGAGATTACTTGGGCTTTCTGGAAGGCTCCCTCCCATGCCTTCAGAGTGGAGCAAATGAGGATAATTTATCTGTGGGCTTCCGGCTGAACCCAGAAGCTCAGAGCAGCCAGGACTACACCGTCTGTTTGTCCCAGCTCCTGCAAGAAGGCATTTTCCCATTGTCGCCGTTGTATATTGTTTGCCTGATTTGTTTGCACATCGCCTTCTGGGGCCGAGATAAGAGGTTGTCTCCCTGCCTCTTACTGGCAGCATGTTCCCCAGAACAATCCAGGGAAAAACTCTCTCAGGAAAGAGCCGTTGAAGGAGGCTTTCGTATGTCCGATGCAGCCCTTGTTACAGTCATGTAAATAATTTTGTGCAGTCTATCTGGTGAGAAACACAACATGTCAGAAGGGAATTGTTCTCTAAAATGTAGTTACGGATGGGCCAAAGCAGGCGGGACAGCCACGCGCGGGCTGCCAGCTTAATGGACAAAGCAGCTGCCTTTCAGTGGGGAACAAAAGCCGGGTGCCGAGCTATGCGCGCTCGGGCGAGCCTCTCTTCTTCCCCGCTGGAGCTGGAGCTGAGTTTTGTGGCCGGGTGGAAAGCCTGGGCTCCCTTCCCCACTCCGTCTGCCCTGATCTAATGCGGTACCCAAGGATGGGTTAATGTCGCTGCTGCTTCCGCGGAGGCATGCGGGGAGTGGAGACGAGGTAACGCGGGTGGCTGGGCCCCCTGCGGCAGGACCGGCCAACTGGAACAACACTGTAGCGCCATCCACTTTAGCGAAGTTACTCGTGATTTTTCAATGCAGAGTCGAGGCCCAGCGGCTCCGGCTTGGCAAAGGGCAATGGGAAAAGTGCAGATTTTCTGTTTGCTTCCATTCTGCGCTGGCTCCGGTGCCTCCTCCCCTGTCCAAAACAGCTGCATGCTGCCTGAAGTGACTACAGAAAGTAAAAGCTTGAAACGTTGCATTAACTTTCATGATTTTTTTTTTCCCTTAGAGCAAATCATGGCGGAAGATCAAGAATATGGTGCACTGGTCCCCATTTGTGATGTCTTTCAAGAAGAAGTACCCTTGGATCCAGCTAGCGGGACACGCAGGTACGGAGCATGGGGAGGGCCAGAGCGGTGGAAAGGCTCTTCGTTATCTCAGGTTAATGGGCTTTGTTGGCCAGAATTGCTGCTGACTGATGCATGAATGTCACAGATTTCAGCTCCCACATCTCTAGCCCAGGAGAGTGACTTTCCTAAATGCTGGGGAGGGTGACGTGAAGGTGCAGTGCTCCATGCTTTCAGTCTCCCAGGGTCAGCGGGTATTCCTGCCGCTTTTTTCTCAAGCAGCAGAAAGCAGAGTCCTTAGGGTGAGACCCAAGCCCTCTTGCTGATCCACAGCAAAGCGGGTGATACTGCCCGGCACAAAGATGCCCCATGCCTGAGCCTAGAGACAAGGGGGTGAACTTACCATGAAGTACCCAGAGGCTGTGAAGCAAGCATGCTGGGCACTGCAGGGCAGGTCTCTGCCCTGTTTCAGGTGTGACATTGCTGGTCATAAACCTCTGACACTACGTGTGAATCTGGCAGCCCGAGCTTGTAAGTCCCAGCCTGCAGGGGACTCTTGGGTGCAGGTGTAAATGGAGGTGCTTCCAAGGTGTTGTGCTGCCCTTCTTGTTTTGGGAAGGCACAGTGTCATCCCCCATCCAAAGCAAGTGCCACGTTGTCCCTTGTCACCCTCAGGTAGTTTCAAGGCAGCGGCCAATGGCAGGATACTGAAGAAGCACTGTGAATCAGAGCAGCGCTGCCTCGATCGCCTGATGAACGATGTCCTGAAGCCCTATGTTCCTGCCTACCATGGCGACGTTGTGAAGGATGGGGAGCGATACAACCAGATGGAAGATCTGCTGGCTGAATTTGACTCCCCCTGCGTTATGGACTGCAAAATGGGGGTCAGGTGAGTGGCTCTGGGGACATTGTTTGAGTTTTAAGATGAGATACTCAAAGCAAACGCATCTCCTGGGTAAAATCCTCTGAAACACACAAGTGAGAACACCAGGCTCAACTGCCTTCAGGAAAAGCTAAGCCATCAGCATGAGGATAGAAGCCATGGGGAAGCCTGGTTATGGGAAGGACACACCAGGCTCTTGTTTACTGTCCTGTGTGCTGAGAAAGTGGCTTGGTGCAGTGCAGGGTACAGCACTCTTAGGGTTTGGGTACACCAGAGTGGCACAGTAGTTTTTAGGAGGGTGGCAACCTGCGTCTCTCTGCCACAGGAGGACACAGCGAAGGGGCAGGGAGCAAAAGGTGCTGGAGATCCCGCCCAGGGTGCCGGGGGGTGAAATAAAGACACTTGAATGGCAAGAGCTTCAGTGAGTGAGAAAGTTTCCTTCTGCTCACCCTTTGCTCCCATGCACACTTGAGGGATAAAATGTGTGTGCTAAGTAGTTTAGTGCCTTTCATGCAAAGTTCTTGAAACGTTTCCTAACAGATGAGCAACATTACCCGCATCCTCCTTGAGAACCATCTACAGATACGCCAAGATCCCAGGCTGCAGCCACTTGGCCAGCAGCAGTTTTTGAGCTAGCAATGCCACAGCTGACGAGGGTGCCCCAGAGCAAATGTAAGCAGGGCTGGTGACACCAGGCAGCTGCCAGTTTTGGAGTGGCCTCGGGCCACCCCTTGGCCCTGGGTCTGCTGCAGGCTGGCGGCAGGGCGGGTTGAGACCCCCCTCCCTGGCTAAGGCGCAGCCCAGACGCGGTGGAGACGCTTGCGCTGCTGGAAAAGCTGATGGGTTCTGTGGGAGGGAGGAATCTTTTTTTTTTTTCCCCTCCTGAACTCCTGATGTTAAACTCAAACTGGCGTGTCGGGCTGTCTGTGGGGAAGAGGCAAGAAATACTTTCCACTGGAGGGGTGGATGGAGAGAAGGGCGGGGGGCCCCGGCGCAGCCCCAGCTAGCACACACGGTGCTGCTGCAGGGGGGAGACGGGACCCACTCAGGTCAGCACGACCAGCAGGTTTTCTGGTGGCTGCCCAGGTGCTCCTGCGGCAGTCCCTGGGAGGAGGAAAGCCTCCTGCACACAAATCGTGGGTCAGGTGATTTGTGCACCAGGGTTTTTGGAGCTAAAAAGGGCAGAGTGGGCAAGGGGGCCAAATGTGCCGGGCATCATCATCTAAGACAGCGCTGTAGGAGGAGCTGGTGAGGGAGGGTGAATTGGGCTAACACTGAGGAGTAGGGCATCCCTGTGTCTGGGCAGGAGAGGCTCTAGCAGATAAACTAAACCTCAGGGTTATTAAACCTGTCCTCTGAGCCAACAGCTTACTGCCAGGCAGATACAGGTTTGGTTTTTTCCTGCTAACCTGGTTTTGGGATGTGGCAGCCTCCACCGGTCACCCCTAAAGGAAACTTTGTCTTTCTTAAGCCTTGGTGATGGTTCAAGCCTGGAACGATGGGGGGGACCGAACCGCAGACAGAGACGATCTGTCATTCTCATCAAAAGGAAATCGAGCTTTCTGACTGGTGTTAGCAGCACTTCTGAGCATGCTGCTGCTTTATTCCGCTATTTTATTCTGTCTGCCCAAAAATCATGGGTTTGGTGATCTCAGCTGAAGCCTTTCATCGCTTTTATCTGCAGTGTTTTTCAAAAGGGCTGATGCCCCGGGGTTGTCTGCTTGGTGATCATATGCCTGCCCTGACAAAAGACACCACTTTGCCTTGCTAAGCCTGTGGGAAACACGGGAACACCATCCCAAGTAGTCTGCCTAGCATCTTCCCCGTGTGTTTTCCTTGGTTCTGGAGGTGAAGAACACACTCAGTGCTGGGATTTGGGCACAGGGGACATGGGGAGAGGGCACGGCCCCTCTGCAAAGCTGGGCATGGCTAGTGGGAGGTGTAGAGCAGTTTGGATTTGGGGGGGAAGGAGATGACAGAGTGGGTCATTCCCGTTTTGCTGGGACATCTCATGTGGCATGGTGAATTGTTTGGAGAGAGCCTGGGCACTTGCCAGGCTGAGCTGGGGCAGGTTTGGGAGCCACAAGAGGAGTTACGTGGTGGGTTATCACTGCTGCAGGAGGTAGTATTTTGTGGATGATGGCTTTCTGCATGCCAGAGGGCAGAAGTTCCCCACCAGTGTGCTCTGGCACAGAGTGGTGCTCCTCTGAAGGATGCATAAACCAAGGTCTCTGCACACTTCTCTGCTCCCTCCATCCTCCTTCGCCTGTGCTGGCTGCACCCCGTGGTCCTGGGGATGATGGTAAGCACCTAGCCAAGGCTGCATCCCTTCCTCTGCTGTCCTGTTCAGGAAGCTTTTGCTAGACAGTCCGCTTAAAACAGACCCATATCAGGCAAAATCAGCAGCAGCAAAACAGCTCTGTGTGCAAACACCCTGTTTAGCAGCCAGCGAGGCCCAGCCTTCGCAGCACACAGGGTGAGGGGATGGGAGAGCACAGGAGAGGCACAGGAGCAGCTTTGGCAGCAGCCACCCACATTGGCCAGACCTCGGAGGGAGCAGCACTAACACCAAGGGCTGGGTTGCAGCAACCTCCCTCTTGCCTTCAACTCAGCTGGGTCCCAGAGCATGTGGGCAGTTTCCTGGGCACATCTTGAAAGCCACGCTTATAGTTTGTGACAGCCACTAAGCTGCTGCTCAGGCTTGCTGAACACTGGGGGATGGGCCCCCCAGGACCAAGGGGTGGCTGCAGGAGACTGCCAATGAGTACCTGTGAGAAATAACCTCCCTCATTATTGCCAGGCTGGTTGTGGTTCCTTAATGAACTGAAAAGATATCAGGTATTGATGATGAGGTTCTAATTAAATCAGGCTCAATTTACCTGCAACAAGGTGTGCTCCATTATTTCCCATGCTGCCCTACTCTGCAGGGATCAGCTATTCTGGATAAGCCTGATTTCTGGGGCAAGGGCTGTCTGTAGATATGTGGCACCTTGTGTGGTGAACCTATGGACCTGCTAATGTTCCCCCTATCACTCCTTGCAGGACATACTTGGAGGAGGAGCTGATAAAGGCCCGGAAGAAGCCGAGCCTGAGGAAGGACATGTACCAGAAGATGATTGAGGTGGACCCTGATGCCCCCACTGAGGAGGAGAATGTGCTGCGGGCAGTAACCAAGCCTCGCTACATGCAGTGGAGGGAGACCATCAGCTCAACCGCTACGCTGGGCTTCAGGATCGAGGGGATAAAGGTGAGGCTGCTCCAGGTGTGCAGAGCGGGGGCAACGGCTGCTGGGAGCATTCAGTAACCAAACTCACTTGCAGAGGCACGCACACACACAGCAGGCTGGTGGTGAGACCATGTCACATCAGGACATCCCTGGTCCCGGTAGCCAAGTCACCCTTGTCAGGCACCTGGCCCGGGGCAGCGCTGCTCTTCTGAGAGCGCAGCTGAGCTCAGGGCATCAATGCAAGAAGACAGTTTTAGCCATAATCTCATTAAATCAGCCACTTGGTTGATTTTCCTGACTGCAAAATGCAAAGTGCCGTCCTCCTGCTTGAAGACTCAAATTAGTTGTTTGCTTTTGATACTGCTGTGCTGGCTAGGCTGAGCCATTAATCCAAATCCCAGCTTGAACGTGTGCCGATCTGTGGTTGGAGCTGTGAGTTTAGCTGCAGTCGGTGAGGAGGCTGTATTTGCATCCCTGTCTGGAAAAATTCAGCAGCTGAGCCCTATGAATTGGGGCGAACACAAACAGCAGCACTTTCTGTTGCCACCTGCATGCGTGTGTAACCTGCTGACTGCGCTTGCTCAGAGCTGATGCTCACGTTTCTGGAGACCCCTGCTGGGATGCTTTTGTGTCCCCATTAGATGAGCCGGCCCAGGAGTTTTTCTCCTGGCAAGCAGACTTTGCGGCAAGAGAGACGTCTGGGATGGCACTTGAACAGAGTTAGGTCTGTAACCGCAGAGCAGTTGTATTAGTGATAGAAGACTCGTGTGAACATCAGCGATGGCATATGACTCCTGATAGCCAGCCAACATGAATTAAAGGTAATATCATGCTTGAGCTAAGGGTTTCATTGCGTGCCAGGGGCATGGCGTTGGTGTGGCAGCCAAGGGGAGCTCAGTTAAATCGTGCCTGCAGTAATTCAGGCTTGGGGTGCTGCTAGGGGCCCAAGCAGTAGCTCAGGGCAGCTGCTTGCTCTTAGCAGAAATGATGGCTCGATTTCTACATGTATTTTGGTTGGAGGAGTTTCTTTCTCTTGATCACAGATTGTTTTTCTCCTCTCTGAGTGGGGCAGGATTCTCCCCAAATGCTCATCTGGGTCTCTGGCCTTAAACTCCCGCACCTGTCCTGACTGGAGATAGCAATGTCAAAACAATAGAATTAAAACAAATGAAGCTATTCCCTGAAAAAGCCTTTACACCAGATTTTGTAGACTTTCCTGGTAGTGTTCCCCTTCACCTCACCGGTCAAACAGCAAACAAATGCAGATGTTAAACCATGGGTTAAAAAGGTGATCGGCAGGAGTGGGTCACTCAGAGCTGCTGCTTCTGATTACCCACATACCAAACCTCTGGTGGGTGGGAAGGGACTTGTCTGTCCCGCTGCACCGGACAAAGCCCCTGGGCTGTGGGAAGCCCAGCAGAGCATGCTCCACACAGGGAGGAGGGCACCTTCTTCACTCAACTCTTTCGTGGCCAGCAGGGGACAGTGCATTTATCTCTAACTCGACCACTCTCAGAAATTCAAGGAGCAGCCCTTGGGCTGAACCCCTTCAAGAGTTTTCTGGCAAGCGATGTGAGGCACCCCTGCCCGTCCCATGCCCCTGCCTGGGATGCTGCCGTCATGCTCCTCCACGGCAGCTTTCTGCGGTGCCTACGTTGGGTCTGGGCCCTTGCCTGCTTGCGCAGCTCTTCCCTGATCTCCCCAGCTCTCCCAAGGACCCTTTTCTGCTACGGGTGCCCACAAGCACGCTGTGAGCTGCTCTGGCTCGGGACAACCCTTTCCCTCGTTCCCATTGCTGTCGTTTTGCTGGTGCTTATTATAAAACTGAGGCTATATAAAAAAGGAGGGGGTCAGTTGGGACCAAAGCTCCCATGCACTGTTTCTTTTCCCTGCTTTCTTACTATATTCAGGAATATCTGTCTATTTATAGTCCAACATGATATATCCTTCAGTGGTGCTTCACAGCCTACAATCCAGGGACATTTAGGGGGCTTTATAGCAGAAGCAGGTCATATGTGAACCGCTTGAAATGAAAAATGTAAAAAAATAAATAAATAAAATTCATATTCCCACACAGGCCAAAAAACTTTGCAGAGGGAAATAAAAGCTATAAAGGAGTGGTGAGTGTTGCACCTCTCTTTTGGCCAACCATAAGTGAGCTGCCGTGCGGCGTGAGCAGTGGATTTTTTTCAAAGAGGTGAGGCAGCCCTTTAATTGAAAAATGTTGAGAAGTGCTGGCCTCCAGGAGTAATCCTCCCGCTGCTAGGGGCTGACTAATTTGATCAAGGCTCTAATTACTGTAATTCTCCTTAAATCCCTCAGCTTCTGGATTATTTTCCCCTAAGCTAAAGCATTAACAGTTCATGCTGGTTCCTGGCTGGCTTTTTTTCCAGCAGGGCTGTAGAGCTGGTCCTGCTGTGCCGTATCCCTGTATTTGCCCTATTTTGGGGGTTGAGTCTCCGCATTAGGGAAAGCGCCTTTGGTGCCCTGAGCTGCTACTGAGCCCTCAGAGGAAATTTCAGGAAAATATTATTTAATGGCAAGTCTACCCATGTTTTCTTTCCTGCTGTGGATGCTTCCCTGGGAAGAGCAGGGGTGAATCTGCCCTGCCCCTTGCTCGCGGCCAGAGGCTGATGCAGGAGAGCACCTTGCTGTGCAAGGGAAGGGCAGGATTTGGCCCTGGGGGCTGGAAGGGAGCACAGGGTAAGGAGAGCAGCAGCAGTAGCCTTCAGGACAGTGCGGGCAGATGAGGTGAACAGGCAGCTCAGGGCTGGGAATGAGGATGGGGACCCTTTCCTGGCCGAGCTCTTGCCTTCCCAGGTGGCCTCAAGGACGCAGGGGTTCTTTAAAATGGAAACTTTCCTCTGCAAAAGGAGACAATGGCACTCGTCTAACTTCCTGGAGTAGCTCAAAACTCTTAGAAACAGTAGCTATTAATAAAATTACCCTGCTAAAAGTAATACAAGTGATCCGTGGTGACCCACTTGAAGCTTACCGGAGCTCATTGCAAGAAGTTTCGCTCCCGAGCTCCTGCTCTGGTCTGAGAGTCACTTACCATTGCCTGCAGCAAGGCCATGGTGGGACAGTATTCCCTGGCACTGGGACATTTCTGGGGTCCCAGAACCAGCCCTGAAAACCTTTACCTGACTTTCCCAAGACAGGAGGCTCGTGAGCCCCGACCAAGGCCAGACACAGTGCCGGAGGAGGAACTGGCTGACTCGAAGCCTGCCCCCATGACGCCAGCACAAACTGGAATTGCTGGTGGGGTGGAGGTTGCGACAGCCCTTATCAGCCCCCCTCACATTTCTGCTGTGTGGAAGGCAGCCCCCTCGGGGCTCAGACACCTGTAAATGTCATGGCAGTTGTCAGCCCCACGGCAGCAGCGTCTGGCTGGGCAAGGAAACCACAGGAGGGGTGTAATTATGGGAGCAGCATTACGGATAGGCTGTTTGGCTTTCCTGAAGCCTAGATTGCCTTATCTGAAAGGCCATCTGTGGTTTTAATTTATTTTTAGGAGCACTTAGAAGTCCATCTCCTTTCTTGGATGCTTTGTGGAAAGTTGTGCTCTTTACACGTGAAATTAGTGCTGTGGCACTTCTCCAAATTGATATCTGTCATCCTCCAGGGAGAGGGTGGGTCGATTTCTGAGCTGCCACATCAGGGCTCATGTGACAGACGTATAGTGGCGTGGCATCCTTCCCCTATATATTGTGCACGTGCCACCAGAGCATCCTCGGCGAGGCCTCCTGCCTGCGCTGCTGCAGCCTGCTGCCTCATGAGACACAGCCAAAAGCAGAGAGCTGGGCTCTGCTTGGTCCGTCAGCAGGACGGCTGCTACAGCAGGGACGTCTCCAGCAGGAAGGTTGTCCCCAGCCTTTGCTGGTGCAGGCTCTGCCAGCTGTTAGCCTTGTTTTTATACCCTGTGTCAGCACCAGTGCAGGGGTGAGAGGTGGTCAGGTGGGGTCCAGGGTGGTATGAAGCCTGGTGCATCAGTTGTACCCCATGCAAACAAAGCTTTTCCTGGAGGCGAAGACCTTTCACATGTTGCTTTTGCTATCGCCTTTGTTAATACTCGCACAAAATGCAAGCGGGAAGTCGGAAGTGTGCTGTATGATCCATCCCAAACTGCACATCAGGTGTGGGTTTGGTGCTGGGCTCGCCTCGCCCAGCTCTCTTCAGCCTGGGCACTTGGCCTTCCCCCAAACTGGACTGACCACCGTGCCCACGGCCAGCCCTTTGCCCGAGGGGATGCACATGGCCCCATCCTGGGGCGTTTACCTGGATGGGTCTCAAAGTCCTGCCAGGGCACACAAATCTCCAGGGCAGGTGATTTCATTGTGCTCTCTTCCTTCCCCAGCCTCTGCTCTGCTTCTTCATCCTTACGTCCACAGGATGTCTTTTTGGCCTCTGTCCCTTTGCTCTATTGTGTGCAAACGAGCTGTCCGGAGCATTGGGATGGAGCTCTGCAAGCGGAGCTACGAGCACATGTGGTTTAAAATAGCTCCTGTATCCAGGAAGCAAGCTCTGCCTGCCCGACCCACGGCTGCTCCGGACAATGAAACGTGCTGATCTAAAAATCAGAGCCCCAGCAGGAGCTGGGAAATGGGGACTGACCTACAAAGCTGCCCAGAGGTTCGGCCAGGAGCCTCTGGGTCAGGGCTGTGTGCCATCCCTGCAGCGGGCCAGGCTGTCCTGTCCCTGCTGCGGGCCAAGCATGGATGCACCTCTGTGGAAGAGGCGGAGGAGAGCCCAAGGCTGCTCACTGCATCTCGGTGCCAGGCTGCTGCCTTTGAGGGTTTGCTATCTGAGGACTATCGAAGGACTAGTGAGGCAAGACGGCCGTGGAGCTTGCTCCTTGCGTTCACCTCCTTGCTGCTCTTCGCGTAGAGGGGTTTTTGTGCCTGCTCCTGAGATGTTGTCTCTGTCCACACTAAGTTTTGTCCTACCATGGTCATGCTCTGCTTTCCTCCCCAAGCAGGGGTGCAGCCCAAGGCTGGTGTCAGCGCCTGTGCTCAGCCATAGCAGCAATGGGAAGCCATTTGGGCACAGCGTGGCCAGAGACGGGTGGTCTCCATCCTCTGTTGGCAGTGAGCGCCAGGTCTGTGAGAGGTAGCTTGTCCACATTGCCAGTGACCTTGGCAAGCGTGTGATGGTGGAGGTTTGCCATTTGCATTAGGGGGCAATGCAGCAAAGCTGTGGGGTGATCTGGGATGTGCAAGGCAGAGAGCTGCTGCCTCTGCTCACCCCTTCTCCACAGACAGGTCCTTCAGCTGCCAAAAAGCCTGGTCACATCCTACTCAGGGACATGCATGCTGCTGAAACACCAGTCCTGCCCCGGCTCCCTCTCTTCCCCATCCCGCTCACCGCTCTCCCTTCTTTTCAAGAAAGAGGATGGCACTGTGAACCGGGACTTCAAGAAAACGCGGACAAAGGAACAAGTCACGGAGGCTTTCAGGGAGTTCACCAGAGGAAACCGCAATGTTTTGGTGAGTGGGGGATGCTGGGGGTGCTGCCTGGAGAGGGCTCCTCCTGGGGAGTCTGACCTCTGCTCATTAGCTCTCTGCCCTGAGGGGCTGCGGCCTGAGAAATCGCTCTTAAAAAGGCATGAAAAATGGCAAAGAGAAATGCCATCCTGGTGCAGGGGTGAGGGGAGAGCAGCGGAGGGATGGGAGGGGATGCGTTTGCTGCAGCAGCACTGCTTGAGACAAGACCGAGTCTGCTGAGGGTGCTCAAGGGTTGGCCCCAAAACCTGCTGTGGAGGCACAGCCGTGCTCTGCCCCCTTATCCCTGGGGCTGACGGCAGCCTCTGGGCCTGCTCCTTACCCCAGCATGCGATGGCAGGGGCTCCCACCCTCGCAGGAAGGCCAAGGCATCCCCCTGCCTGCCCAGGCACCCTTCGCATGGGCAAGCTGCGGGCGGCATTTCCCAAGTTTCTCTGTGTTGCCAGGAGAATAAGAGATGTAGCTGTAAACAATTTACACCAACTGTGTCAAATATCCTATTTGACAAAGCGCTTCCATTTTAGGCTGTACTATATAAAGCCTGCAAATGCAAGGCTCCAGCTGGAGTGGCCCTTGGCACTGCCTCCTTCAAACCGGCATGTTTGCTTTGACAAGAGTTACCCAGGGATTATTCCTGGATCTGAAAATGAAGTTGCCTGGCTGCATTTTATCCCCAAAGAGCTTGGAGCACACTCACGCCACCATACCCTGGCTCTGGATGGGGCTCCTTGGCCAAACCATTGCAATACAGAGACCCCCACACCTCCCCAGGCAGTCAAAAGTGTGAAAATTTAAGTCTATTACAGTGCCCAGATATCTGCTGTGCATCTTCCTGTGCTTAGTCCTTCTATCTAAACCTCAAAATCAAATTATCGAAGGGGTCCCCTGAGAATGTTTAGTGCCTTCCAGCAATTTGCAGGGATGCTCGAACAGGCGCATGGGTCTTGACCTGTGTGCTAGCGTGAAAGCCCTTCCATGGTACAAACTTTGCAGAGGTGCTGATACGGAGTTACAGAAGTGTCTCGCGATGCTCGACTGACTGAGTGGTAAAATGACAGATGAGGTGAAGAGTTGACCTCTTAAAAAGGGTGCAGGTGAGAGAAAAAAAGAAGCCTGGCTGTTGCATGCACAGCAGCGGCTGCTGAATTAGCTCAGGAGCACCGTGGATGCAGCAGGGAAGGCCTGCAGCAAGCACCAGTTCAGCAAAAGCAAATGCTCTCACTTTTGGAAGCCACAGGAGTTCACAGGATGTGTTAGAGGCCGAAAGGATAAGTGGATCCCAAAAAAGAGGGGACACCCTCCCAAGGGACAGGTCTGTGGGAGGATGCTGAGTGCAGGGTTGGCAGAGGGACACCCCCAGCATCAATCCATGCAAACGTGGTATCACGGAGAGGATGCAGGGAGGGGTGGCTTTCCTGTCTGCCCTGTGCAGCAGTTTTTATGTAGGCTTCCTGCAGCACTGACGGCTTGGTGGTTTGTATTTTCTTTTTTTTTTTTTTTTGTAATTCCAGAACAGTTACCTTAACCGGTTGAAGGGTATCCGCGCTACCCTGGAGACATCCCCGTTCTTCAAGTGCCATGAGGTAATACCCGTGTTTAGATAATCTGCCTGGAAATGCAAACGGTTTAATCTCAGCTTGTCCAAGGAGAGAAGAGAAGTCAGAGGCTGTAAATTCCTACAATTAGAATTTATTCTTATATCCATATTTTCATACCCCTGGTTATCTAATACTTATGTGGAAATACAGCTGATGACTGATACAATGTTCATGCATTTGACATGGGTTCAAATCTACTGAAAACCAATGTTCATACAGACTAAAAGTGATCTAGGAGAAATCCAGGCTGTTTATGGGTTTATATGACTAGGAAAAATCCTTACTGTAAAAGTATAGGGGTTTTCTGGAGAGAAATGCCTATCTGAATGTGCATCAGATATCATTTGGCTGCCAGTTGCTCCCTGTCCTCAAATAAGGCTTCAACGTAGCCCTAAGTTGCAGATATCCCAAACCTGCTTTTGCTGAGCTGCTTGGGGCACCACGGTAAGGACTCTTCCCTTGGAAGGACTTTCCTCCAGAAATGAGCATCCACAAAATCAACACTTTCTACATTGAAAATTAAGTTCTGGTGGGAAAAGAAAGAGGAAGCGCTACCTTTTTTAGCTGTTTCAACAGGAATTGGAATGCTTCATAGTTTAATTAAATAATTTTATCAATTCAGCATTGGCAAAGAGTATTTGCTGTTGCATCTACTTAACAAAACGTAAGAGTGCATGTCCTTGGCATGTCTTGTCTCTGGGCAAAAGAGCCTCCTAGGAACCCTCAACTTGCAGGGAGCAGGAGCCACAGCTCCAGGAGCCCACTGTCCCTCAGCCAGAGATGCATGAGCCACTTTGTCCCTGGCCGCACACGGAGGGTCCTGCTGGGAGCTGGAGGTGGATGGGGCCGTGCCTCCTGATGGCAGCGCCTGTAAGGGCAATTGGAAGGGACATGTTGAAACCGAGGGTTTCAGGTCAGTTTAACACAGGAAACAAAATGCTCCCTGAAACCAAGTGCCAGGCTTTCGTTTGAAAACACAGAAACAAAACAGCCTTTCAAGGAGGTTTTGAAAGGAGTTTCCACTTCTTAAAAATTAAAAAGCAGCAGCTTTGACTTTCCGTCCCACTTCGAGACAAAGCGCAGCAGCAGGTCAGCCAAGCTCTGTGTGTCCCTGCAGCGGGGCCCTGGCTGGGCAGGGCTCCGAGGCGGAGCTGCAAGAGAATTTGGCTACCCAGGACAGGTGAGCGAAGAACATCAGCAAAAGGCTTTTCCTTGAAGTTAAAATGCTCTGTCCTGGCCAAGAGAAGGCTATAAGAGCTTAGAAGGAGAAGAGCTAAAGATTATAATTCCTGGGAAATAATACATATCTCAGGACCTTGGACGTTTTCCCAATGCGCTGGAGGAGGAAGTCTCCTCAAAAATGTAAATTCATAATAGCTTTTGCAAACAGTACATGGTTCCTGTTCAAAACCCTCGTCTACAGGCAAACCTCAAACTAAACCCTGCTCATAGGATGGACATGGGAATCCCCAGTAACATTTAGTGCTGCTGGTTTGGAGGGCTGACACCAGCTGGATGCCCTTCGAGCTGCGCTCCTCCATGTATCTGCACAGCTTATGGGGTGCTCCTGGCTCTCGGCACGCTGCGTCCTGCCTAACAGCCATTGCACTCTGGTCACCGAGGTCCCTATTTGTGATACAAGGGCAAGCCAGTTCGTAATCCACCAATTTGTGCACATTGGATGTAACTTGGAAAGTAATCTTCATTTGGGACAGCTCTGAAGCGTGCCCGCTGGTGCTTTTCTGTAGTGCCACCTGCTAAAATCTTCTGACTGGAGGAGCAGATTCAGCGGAAAAGCACGGTGGTGAATGGCCTGACACTGATATGTGTTCTGCAAGCCAGGGTGGGCCAGGGGGCTGAGCTGGAGGTACCCGTCTGCCGAGCATCGTTCTCTACTCCATGGGTGGTGAGCATTGGGCTCATGGGGTCTCATCCTGCCACGACAGGCCTTGAGGCTTCTGCTGTCAGAGGCCATGTGCTTCACCTTCCGAAATGCGCCTCTGGGCTTCCCCAGGCTTGCCCAGGCCAATACTTGCTGCAGGATTTTCCCAAAGGCTGATCAGAATATGAGAGAGCAGATGCAGCCAAGTGAACTCATGGAAAAGGAAATTCATGTACGTGCACCTCTGTAACTTGCATCTCCAGAGCGCTGTGAAAGCCAGGAGGATATTCTAGGGGAAATCTGTGTGCAGTTGGATGGTGTTTCAGGCAGGAGACAGCACACCGCAAGTAACTTGTACACGGAGCATACCCATCCCTGTGGTGATGTCTCCAGGGCTGGTGAGTGTGAATAGCACAATCCGGTCACAAAGAACCAGCCTTGGAAAAAAGTTGCCATCTGAAGGCTGAGACGATTCACCTCATTCCTTCCCTGGGGACCTTGACTCAGTTTCCAAAATGACATCTCTTTCTTTCATGCCCATGTTTTTTCTGATCCTCTCCTGCTGCCAAGAGCTGGGATTTGTATGAGTAAATCGGCTTGTCTGAATACCTGATTTGCATGTGCAAACACAGCCAGCAACACGCAGAGCTTGCTTTTGCTCATGCAAAATCTCAGCGTCATCTCTTGCAAATGCAGCCTGAGATAAGGCACCTGAAGGCCCCAAAGCTGGCTGAGAACGAGGAGTAGGAGCACCACTAACTGATCTCTCCTGTCCGCAGGTAATCGGGAGCTCCCTCCTCTTCATTCATGACAAGAAGGACCAGGCCAAAGTCTGGATGATTGACTTTGGGAAAACCACCCCGCTGCCGGAGGGACAAGTTCTCCAGCACAATGTGCCCTGGGTGGAAGGGAACAGAGAGGACGGCTACCTCTGGGGGCTGGACAACCTCATTCAGATCCTGACAGAGTTGTCCCAGAGCGAAGACTTGCATTAAAGCCGTGCGTCCGACTCTGCCACTACCCCCAACCTGCCCCCGACTGACTCTTCTGAACTGCACTACAAGACACTTTCCAGCCCTCGCCCTTCCCATTTGAAAGCTCTACTCTCCCTATTTAATGTGTTTTTGTTGTGGTTTTTTAGGTTGTCTTGGGTTGGGTTTTTTTTTTTTCCTCTCCATGTAAATAGAGAGCTAACCTGCCAGAACAAAAGCTGAACTTGAAACCTTGGCTTCGCTGAGTTGGTGGGAGCACACGGCTGTGTTGGCTGGGAGCAGCCTGGAGGGGTTGCTTAGGTAAGCGCGTGCTTTGCCTATCGCGCTTTTTGTCTCTTGTGCAGCCTAATTTTTAGGAGAGCCTTTAAGAGGGCTGGCAGAGGAAAGAACCCCTCCCTCTGCTGGGGTCAGCAGCTTCATCCTGAAAACACTCAGTGGCCGTGCCCAGGACCCTCTGGCAGCCAGAGTGCATGAGCAAAGCTTGGAGACAGCGAAGGATACTGGGGTGGGAGCCCTTTACTTGTCTTTGCCAGCACCTTTCAGCCAAGGGACCTGGCTGGGCTGAGTCCTGAAGAGATGCTAGAAGGGCAGATTTGGGTTTTTCTTTTGTGTTGAAGACATCCTGTAGAGGTTGCTCAGTCATTTTCAGGTGGCTCTGGAGGGTTTCCCTCCTGCTGCAGGGCCATGTGGTCGGGCACCAGTATTTACCATGGCCAGGCGCTTCCCACCCATGTGCCCTGTGCTTGGTATGCTGGTGTGGTGGGTAACACTTTGAGCTCCTCTCCAGAGACCCAGCTCCCCTGCTGGGAGCTGCTTCCAGCCCTCCTTCACTGGGGTCTCCAACCCTCCATGGGGAATAAAGACTTTGGGCAGGGCTGAAGGAGAGAAAAATAGCTTATAAGGGACTACTATGAGACTTAAAGTAGCCATCCAGGTTGATCGGTCTTTTTTGGCAGCAGCTGAGCATGCGTGTAGGGGTAGTGCTGCCGAGAGCGCCTGGCCCAGGGTGACCCTCCTGCCTCCAGCACCTCTGTAATTTTTGTCAGCGGTTGGCGAAGGGTTACAGCAGCAAAGCAGCTCTTGAGGTGGCCAGGGTAGTTGTCTTTCGTGAAGCAGAGTTGGGGTCAGGCATGCCTGTGCCTTCCCTTTTTTTCCGCAGAGCTGGCTGACTCCGGCGCTGCCCTTCAGCGTTGGCTTCCCAGTCTGCTCGAGCTGTGCGTACGGCGTCTCCGCTCCTGCGAAAACACCCAGTTCCCTATTTGGGGCGGAGGCTATTTTTTAACTTCCTGGAACATTTGAACCAAGCGGCTTTGGCTCACTAAAGGTCAGCGATCGAGAGGACGGCGGGGAGGAGAGGCTGCAGGGCAAGCTGGGGAGTCCCTCGCGTTGAGGACAGAAGGAGCGTGCAGCACTGGAGGTGGTGCAGGAGCTCCACAGCTGCAAATCCCTCGCCTGCTCCATCCCCAAACCCACCGTCTCATCTCGCTCCTGGAAGTGGTGCTCCAGAGCCCTTCTGCCAGCGGTCGGTGGGTCCAGCATCCTCAGTGGGGGAGGTCTTCTCCTGGCAGCAATAAGGAGGAGGAGTTGGCCATTGAGCCGTCTGCAGCCATGTCCCAGCCTCCTTCCCGAGGATTGAAGTCTCCTAAGGTTTTTCTCAGCTCATATCTCACCAGACAGATGTCTTTAGCTCATCTGATGCCATTGTAAATGGTTGCACTGTTTTAGCTCTTTGCCAGGCTTTCTAGAATAGCCCATGTGGAAGTGCCTTATAGACTTGCCTCTGTTCCATTAGTGTCATGGAAAAGGTTGGGGTTTTTTTAAGTTATATTTATTTTCATCCCATTTTAATTGCACAAAACACTAAAACTTAATGCATGGAATCTCTTTTTTTTTTTTTTTTTAAACTGTGTTTTTAGTTTTTAAACCATCCCTTTTCCAGCTTTGGAGAAAGGGTGTGAACAGATACGCATAGGTATGTACCAGTTATCGCTGTACTTTAGCTTCAAGCTGCTCTTATATATGTATATTATTTTTTAAGCCTGTTTATAAACCAGATTCCTCGCTTCCTCTCAGATGTCTTATGCCTTTTTGGAGGCTGGAACGGTTGCTGTGAGGGATTTTCCCCGCTCCCACCTCCCTTCTCGGGTCCTTGGTCATACAGAGAAAAATCCGAGCCGGTCTGAAACACCAACTCACAGTGCCTGTAAAAAAAAATCCTGTAACTTTGCAAATAAAGGCATATGGGAAGCATTTGCCTGGTGTACGGTTCCTCTCTGCCCCGCGCAGCTTGCAGCAGCCTGGGAACAACCCAGGAGCTGGCTTTTATGTCCATGGGGATTTGGGGGGGAATCGGGCACACACCGGGAGCAGTGCTGCATAAAAGCAAGAGTAGGGAAGGACCCTGTGCCGGGGATGGATCCTGGCAGAGGGGAACTGGCTTTGCACAGAGCAGGGCAGGGTGAGAGCGGAGCCAGGGCTCTGGGCTGCAGTGGGGGGGAGCACCCCTGGGAGCGACCGGAGTTTCTCCATCACCCTTCTTCAGGGAAGCCCACCAAAGGCAGCTCCACACCAGGAATTTTTGCGGTCTGTATGTTTTTCGCTAGCGCTGGGTTGTGGCTCCCGCTGAGCGGTTTCCGAGTGCCACCCTGCGATTTCTGTGCTCAAGGATATCGAAGCAGCCAGGGGTGTCAGAGCTGCCTGGTGTGGCCACGCGCTTCCCCCGGCTCCTCTCCCTCTCAGCTGCACCACGGGCAGTGCTGGAGGGAGCGCTTGGGACCAAAACAGGATTGGCTTTGCACTGCAGGAGAAATTGGGTTGTAGAGCCTGAAGGCAGTGCCAGGCCCGCCTGGTTGTCCGTGCAAGCACAGGACAGCAGGAGCCTGTCTCAGGACAGATGCGGCTGAGAGGGGCTGCCCCATAAGGGAAGTCAGATTTAACACCCTGTGTTAATCCCAGACCCCTGGGAGCAGCCCGGCCTGGGGGCTGGTCCCTGCAGCATCTCTGCTGCTCGCCACGGCACCTCGGAAACAGACTGCAAGAGAAACCGAGCATGGACTTTGCTTAAAGACTAAAAGCCTCCTGCTATGGGAAAGAACTGGTAGTATTACTGGCACGTATATTATTTATTTTTATTATTTTATTATTATTTATTAAAAATAAATGAGGAGTTAGAGATGTGTGTACGCCTGGGGGGCTGTGACCTTATTGGCATCACAGAGACGTGGTGGGATGGCTGCTATGACTGGAGTGTTGGAATGGAAGGATACAGGCTCTTTAGGAAGGACAGGCAGGGGAGATGAGGAGGGGGTGTCACCCTCTGTGTCCGTGACCAGCTGGAGAGCCTGGAGTTCCACCTGGGGATGGATGAGGAGCCCACCAAGAGCTTCTGGGTCAGTTTTACAGGGAGGGCAGGGAGAGTGACATTACAGTGGGGGTCTGCTACAGGCCACCCGACCTGGAAGACTGAGCAGATGAGGCCCTCTATAGACAGATAGGAGCAGCCTCATGTTCACAAGCCCTGGTCCTCATGGGGGACTTCAACCACACTGGTATCTGTTGGTGGGACAACGCAACAGGGCATAAGCAATCCGGGAGGTTCCTGGAATGCGTTGATGGTAACTTCCCTCCCCAAGTGATAGAGGAGCCAATGAGGAGAGGTGATATGCTGGACCTTGTTCTCACCAACAAGGAGGGGGTGGTGGGCAATGTGAAGCTCAAGGGCAGCCTTGGCTGCAGTGACCGTGAAATGGTGGAGTTCAGGATCCTTAGGGCACCAAGGAGGGCGCACGGCAAGCTCGCGAGCCTGGACTTCAGGAGAGCAGACTTTGGCCTCTTCAGGAAGATCTGCTTGCTAGAGTACCATGGGAGAAAGCCCTGGACGGACGAGGGGCCCAGGAAAGCTGGTAAAAATTCAAGGATCACCTTGGGATTCAAGGATCAAGCTTGGAAGCAATGCATCCCAACAAAGAGAAAATCAGGCAAAAATGCCAGGAGGCCTGCATGGATGAATAAGGAGCTCCTGTAAAAACTCAAACACAAAAAGGAAGCTACAGAGGGTAGAAGCAAGGACAGGTAGCCTGGGAGGAATAGAGAGAAATTGTCCAAGCAGCCAGAGATCAGGTTAGGAAACCTGAAGCCCTGATAGAATTAAATCTGGCCAGGGACATCAAGGGCAACAAGAAAAGCTTCTATAGGTACATAGGTGATAAAAGGAAGACAAGGGAGAATGTGGGCCCTCTCCAGAAGGAAAGAGGAGACCTGGTTACCCAGGTTATGGAGAAGGCTGAGGTACTCAACAACTTTTTTGCCTCAGTCTTCACTGGCAAGTGCTCAAGCTATACTGACCAAGTTTTAGAAGGCAAAGGCAGGGACTGGGAGAATGAAGAACTGCCCACTGTAGGAGAAGATCAGGTTCGAGACCATCTAAGGAACCTGAAGGTGCACAAGTCCATGGGACCTGATGAGATGCGTCCACAGGTCCTCAGGGAACTGGAAGATGAAGTTGCTAAGCCACTATCCTTCATATCTGAGAAGACGTGTTAGTCCGGTGAAGTTCCCACTGACTGGAAAAGGGTAAACATATCCCCCATTTTTAAAAAGGGTAAAAAGGAAGACCCAGGGAACTATCGACCAGTCAGTCTCACCTCTGTGCCTGGCAAGATCATGGAGCAGATCCTCCTGGAAACCATGATAAGGCACACAGAAAATAAGGCGGTGATTGGTGACAGCCAGCATGGCTTCACTAAGGGCAAATTGTGCCTGACAAATTTGGTGGCCTTCTACGATGGGGTTACAGTGTTGGTGGATAGGGGAAGAGCAGCTGGCAACATCTACCTGGACTTGTGCAAAGCATTTGACACTGTCCCACACAACATCCTTGTCTCTAAATTGGAGAGGCATGGATTTGATGGATGGACCACTCAGTGGTTAAGGAACAGGCTGGATGGTCGCACTCAAAGAGTTGCGGTCAACGGCTCGATGTCCAAGTGTATACTAGTGATGAGTGGTGTTCCTCAGGGGTCAGTATTGGGACCAGTGCTGTTTAACATCTTTGTTGGTGGCAGAGATGGTGGGATTGAGTCCACCCTCAGCAAGTTTGCTGATGACACCAAGCTGTGTGGTGCAGTCAATACACTGGAGGGAAGGGATGCCATGCAGAAGGATCTGGGCAGGCTTGAGAGGGGGGCCCAAGTGAACTCGTGAAGGTCAACAAGGCCAAGTGCAAGGTCCTGCACATGGGTTGGGGCAATCCCAAGCACAACTACAGGATGGGCAGGGAGGGGGTAGAGAGCAGCCCTGAGGAGAAAGACTTGGTGGTGTTGGTTGATGAGAAGCTCAACATGACCCGGCAATGTGTGGTTGCAGCTCAGAAGGCCAATCGTATCCTGGGCTGCATCAAAAGCAGTGTGACCAGCAGGTCGAGGGAGGTGATTCTGCCCCTCTGCTCTGGGTGATCTGAGGGCTGGAGCACCTCTCCTGTGAAGACAGGCTGAGAGAGTTGGGGTTGTTCAGCCTGGAGAAAAGAAGGCTCCAGGGAGACCCTGTAGCAGCCTTCCATTAGCTGAACGGGGCCTACAAGAAAGCTGGAGAGGTACTTTTGACAAGGGCACATAGTGACAGGACAAGGGGTAACGGCTTTAACCTGAAAGAGGGTAGATTTAGATTAGATAAAAGGAAAAAATTCTTCACTATGAGGGTGGTGAGGCAATGGAACAGGTTGCTCAGAAAAGCTGTGGCTGCTCCATCCCTGGAAGTGTTCAAGAACAGGCTGGATGGGGCTTTGAGGAACCTGGTCTAGTGGAAGGTGTCCCTGCCCATGGCAGGGGGGTTGGAACTAGGTGATCTTTAAGGTCCCTTCCAGCCCAAACCATTCTGTGATTCTATTACAGATGTGAGGTTGCTACACGTGCACCGAGGGATCTCTCCTGGGCTGTGAGAAAGGCGTAGCTGTTTCCTGGCTGGCTGGCTTGCATGCTCCTGCAGCATCATTACCAACAGCTGATGCTTTACTGATAGCTCCAGTTCCTGGGGGCCACTGAGAATCTCATTGGTATGTGACTCCTCTTCCTACCTGGGGAGGAAAACAAAAGCCTCCAAAACTTACCCAGCCGTAAAGGACCCACGCAAAACCAGAAGGTAAAGAGTAAGAACCTCAACTCTGTTCTGTAAAAACCTCTCTTGCAAGTTAAGGAAACACCACGATGTTGTGGCAGAGAGGGGAAGGGAGTAAATCAGGGAAAGAAACCCCTCATGACTGAGTGCTGGCGTCTGCTGACCCTGAGGTTCGTGCCCTGGGTTGGAAAGAGGCAGGCCCCAGTGCCAAGTTGGGGCTGTCGGCGCAGCACGGCACACACCACAGCAACAGCCCTGCTTGTCCCCCCGCCTGGCTTTGCTGCACCCCCAGAGCAAAGCCCTGGGCTCCCTGCCACTTCAGGGCTGAATAAACTAAATGATTAATAAACTCAATACAGAGAGACCAGCAATCACAGTAATGCCACAAAAAAACCTTTAAATATTGCTGAGGCTTCCACTGTTACAGCATGGAGCCTCCCAGCACCTCCAGCGGTGCCATGGGGGTTCAGGCAACCTGCTCAGGCAGTAGGTGGGGAGGGGCCAGCTAATTTGCTTCTTAATTATCTAATTAGGTACTGCTCACAAGAATGAATCTCCTATAAATAAGGGGGTGCTGGGGGCCAGCTGGGAGTTGCAGCCTCTGAAGAGGCAGGACTTTGCTGTGGTGGTTGATAGGGGGCTGAGGCTCATGGGGTGTGAGTAGTGCTGGTGTGGTTTTGGGGTCTCTGGGAAGCCCCTCAAGAGCTGTTTTGCCCCTGCCATGGATGATGCAGGGCAGTGCTACTGCCTGCCCCCCACC